TTTCACAATGTTATTCGTAATGGTCAACCAGTTACAAATAAAATCTTACAGATCTTAGCTGACATTTTGTACATGTCAATAAATGCAAGACGACGATATAATTCGTTTAAACTATTGGAAAAAGCCAGACAAAATCAAGATTTACCTGAGAGCATATTCCAAAGCTTGTATCGTACTTGCAGGTATTGTATACCTTTTTGTGTATATTTGAAGTATCTCAAGTATTTTGGTACTATAATTTTCATTTAATGATAAAATGCTATCGAATAAAACAAATACATTTTTATCTTCGAATTCTTGTTTTTCTGCTTCGAATTTGTATATTTCAAGTATATTCACGTTAATTTCATCAGCAAAATTCATTACTCCTAATTTCAAACTTTGAGTGAGAAATAATGAACTTAAATTATTCATATGCATGGTATCGATTGGTTCGCTAAGTTCAGCCAACTTCACTAAACCATATGAATAAGCGGTAAGAATATAGACACTCACATCATAAACTTGATCATTTAGAAAATCTTTCATTTGACTGAGAGCATCATTTTCTAACGACGCATATTTCGATAAAATATAAATACACTTGGATGAAATTATTTTTGTTTGTTTATCATCGTTATTTAATGCTAAAACTAAATTACTAATTGTTTTATTCGTTATTTGAACTTGTTTTTGAACAGACAATAAAATCAGATTAGCAGTGAGTAATGAAATTTGATTACAATGTTCATTCTGTTCGGAACGTTGTGTAAAAATTATTTTTGAATCGTTATTTAATTGAACAACATCGTTACTCTCTAATTTGAAAGATATCTTTTCCAAATCTTGTTGGTTTCGAATATAATTTTTTTCATGAATAACACGACTTAGTATAAGTAGAATATAACTTGAAGAATTTTCGCCAAAATATTCTATATTGTCAATTAATTTTTTCACTATTCGATTTGATAACAAATTTTGTTTTTCAGCAATTATCAGTATAGACGTAAGCATGGTATTAATAAGATTAGTACTTGAATTACTAGGATCTTGAACGTATTGAATCAATAATTCCAAATGTTCGTCTCCCAAAGCCTTGCTTGTTTCATGTTCTAAATAATTATTAATTATCTCGATAATATCTTCTTTTATTTGAGTATCATAGACGTCACTATTTAACAAATCAATTAATTTCGAAAGTATTTCATCAGTAAATAATTCTTGACTTCGTTTTGCATCTTTGGCTTGATTATTCAGAAAATTGATTATCATCTCATGGTTTTCACATGTTCCACGTACTAAAACATCGATATATGCTTCAAACGTTCCTTTATAATCAATTTCATTAGTTGAATCAGCTATGTTCATTATTTGAAATATTAATTTTGTAAATTTAGCATCATTTTCTTGATAGTTTGTTAAACATTTTTGAATTTTCTTGATTCTATCCTTGGTAAGAACTTGTTTGTTTCGAATTGAACAATTATGTATGGCATTTAAACTGTCCAATCTAAGTTGATTTATTTGATTTTTTATTATTTCTGCTAGTTCATTTTTATTGAACTGTTTTCGTTTCATTTCAGTAGAATTCCATAGCCATCCTTGATGTGTAACAACTTCGATTGTTTTGTCCATAATTGTCTTAATAAAAATAGTTGCTATATCCGGTTCGTTTAATTCCTTGAATTCATCATAATCATCACATATGGCATTAACAACTAAGTCTACCATATCATCATTACAATGCAATGCAATTGAAACAAAAGAATCCAAGTCAGTTGCACACATCATTAGTTTATCGATAGCATCACTATTTAATTGTTGCTTTTTTGATGCTCGAAGCAATGTAGCAGCAATCATTCTGTTAATAAAAAATGAATAAACTTTTTTTCTCCTTCTGATTCTTAAAGGGCCGTGTGGTAAAACCTTTGTATTAAGACAGACATGCCAGCCAAATAATTTTTTTGGTAAATAATTATCTTTATCATCACTTTTTAATGCTTGTCCTTGTGATACTACTAATGAGTAAAAATTAACACATTCTCCCCAAGTACTTCTCCACATTGATCTATCATCGCCACTTGTATCATTTACGGTATCGATTTTTTCTAATGTTGTTTTCATGTTTAACATTCTGTTTCGATTTTTTAGTGCATCTGATAAATTCAAAAATATCATTTTTGTCTCTTCGGACTCTTTATTATTATAACTTGATTTCACAGTTTGTATTGTTTTGGTAACAACTAGTTTATTCATTTTTTGATTGCCATTAGATTTACCTGCTGATTTAAATCGATGCTCAGTTTTTAGCTGATCATTGCGGTCAACACTTTTACTGATTTCTAATCGAGTTAATAAAAAACCTTTTGCATCTTCATTTATATCAAACCTATTCAGCACCAAACTACTAAGTTCATTAATTAATTCGTTGTCTAATGTTGATTTTTCAGTCATATAAGCCAATGTATAAACAAGTTCAGTCTTAACAGACTCGTCTTTACATCGTTTTATCCAATCGATGACATCAGAATATTGGATTTCTTTTATCAATTGTTCGCTATTTCGAGTTAAATATTTTAACGACAAACATAGAAAATATTGAACTTGTTCATCAACATTACCATCTAAGTCTTTCAAATATTTACTGAATTGATTTAACAGATTTTCATGCACATGTCTCAATTCATCGAATGTAATTGTGAACTTGCGTATGTAATATGCAAATTTCTTCGATTCTTCTAAATGAAATAATTTGCCTTGCTTGTAAGAACGTTTTAATTCGTTAATTGCAACTGTTTTATCAAATTCACATTCGATAGATCGCTTGAATTTATCCGATTCAAGTTTTTGAAATTTTCTTACTGCTAGTGCTGTTCTTATAACTTGTCGAAGTCGTAGGGGTTCCTTAGATGGTTGAGTTTCATTTTTGGTTTTGCAATTTATTAGTGTTTTTAAGAAGGCTTTAAATGTTCCAGAAAACATGCCGGTGTGAGATTTTGTTTCTCTAATAATAAAATCTAAAATTAAATAGGAAAAACCAATGAAATAAACATATTTATTATATGAAATAATAAACAGTATAATAGAGCACATTAAGTCGAAATATTGCGTTAGAAGTATGTTTTCGACGATGTTGAGACCGATTCTTATGATTTCCCAACTGTATCTGTGAGTACGTTGGCCCGCGTACGATTACAGAGTCAATCCCTACCTAATAGGATTAGCCTTCTATTAATTAAAATAATTCAATACCACACTTGTAAATGAAAGTAAAATTTGAAAAAATAACGTATATCGGATCCTCAATGATCATATTTCTCGCTCAACACTTAAGCCATATCAAAATTCAAGACGATAATTTTGAATTTTTGCATTTTTTCAATGAATACAATGATGAGTTGAAAGAGTAGATCGGTTCACAAAATTAAACTATGCACGCGATTATGAAAAGATTTTAGGATGTAGAAACAGCTGAACAAGTATTTTCAGATAAATGTAGACAGAAGGAAATAGGAAAATGACACACAGTTAAAAGCCTCTTCTTTTCTCGAAGCACAGCAGTGTCCAAGTTCCCAGAGTTCGGGAATTCAATGGGAATTGGGAACTCACACCTCAATAAGAACGAACGTGCGCTAAAGATTTAAAATAGGTTAGAGATCTCAGGGAACTCAGGAATATCTGGGAAACCATGAAACTCAAGGGTATCAAGGAAACCGAGGAACTTAAGAATATCGAAGAAAAAAACGAATTTTGAAGTCACCGACACGAGTGATGGAGGCTGGACTCACGAGGGAACATATCCAACTGATTCCGAGCTTTCGGCTTCATCTTTTGGCTACAGGTAGGCCTCAGTGAGACTAAGAAAACCCTAGAATCGTTCGTTCCCATGGCGTATTAGTGAAGAGTTATGGCCGTTTTACTGGATTTTTTACTCGGGACAGGGTATTTCCAAAAACCTTAAANTAAAAGCTTGTTCGATGCTGTACAAAACTGACTCTGGAAAGTTTTCATTTGGAGAAATAGTTTCGCTAGAAATTAGAGTTTTCTCGGCGGTACTGGAAAAAAAGGGTCTTTTTATGTAACAGCGTTACGCGATAATAAAACCTTTCTAGACGTTCGAGACTTCAGCCGAAAAAGGTCGTTCTTATAGCATAAATAGAGTTTGATAAGCTGTGTCGAATGGCGTTTGAATGAACTTTCTAGCTGTTAAACCTTCCGAGTTAATTGAAGAACAGTGTGTCAAAAACGTAACAGCGTTACGTTTGGACAAGCCGAATAACTGTATGATTCACAAGTTTATCAAATAATAAAAAACAATTCTTGTCATAAAACGAAACCATTTGATCATATATGAATTGATTTGGATTAATTAAAAGAGATACAGCATTTCGTTCTGCTTTTCTAGTTGTATTTGTTCCACCACCAACGAATAATCTTAACTCTTTAAAATGTTTCATAGTAACTTTTGATTTAGTTATTGTTGTAAGATATGTCGTTAAATCTTTGATAAAGCGTGTTAATAATAACTTCAAGTTGTCTAATAATTCTTCGCTTCTTTTAAGACCATATGAACTATGATACAAATATGCAAAATCAACAGTTTTGCAAGTACCATCAATTAAGAAAAACAAACAGGTGGCAAGAGGATTAGTAGTAATTGTTGTTGTTATTACACCTGATTGATCCATAGGAACGTGGACATTCCTGTTAGATGTCATTGTCTTGAACAAGAATCGAACTATTATTAAATTAATATTCAATAAAAAAATATAATAAGATTATCGATACTTAGTATTTTGATCAATTAAATTTTTTGTTGAATGATTTAATCAAATTGTTTTATAATCTAAAATCAAAATAAGAACATTCAACAATCTAAAAATAAAAATAACGTCAATTGAAATAAGAAAATTTCTTTTTCTTGTACCATTTTATGTTAGTATCACAATCAAACTAAACATGGTTTATTCATTTGCGATAAGTATTTGTCCATTGATTTTGTTCATTCTTTCTTTTCATTTCCAATAGTCGAATAAAAGAAGAAAGCACATGTTTTCTCGACTTGTATTATTATCTTGCCATTTCACTCGTTTATTAGAAAAGGAAAAGAAAGAAAAACAATATAGATATGTGTGTCAAGGGTGAATGTACAATTAGTCATTTTGAAACAATAAAATCGATTGGCTAAAGGAAAGCTATATTCGAAACACGTTTTAGAATATTTCAATGCAACGTATCATTTATGTTGAAATTATATTATCATACAAAAACTTGGTTGAATTAATCGACTATCTAACATTGTAAATCAAATGTTGGTATTTAGAACATTCATAACAGTTTCAACAGTTGTATGTTAGTCTATGGATATAAGTTAGTCTTGAAAGCAGAGCGATGCTACATCTAGAACCTTGAAAAAGCAGAGTCGTAATCTCTTCTCTCACATCAAACCAATAGCTATAAGCACTTCGAAAAGGTCTGTCTGTTTTACTGTTAAAAAAAAACAAACAACTTTTAGAGGTACCACTATTACTCCGAACACGCCTCGTTTCTATTTGCGTCCCTGCATATCAGTTATCCCATATTCTTTATTAATTGATCCATTTAATATGTTAAAAAATATAAAAAACAACAAAATTTTCTTCAAAGGAACATAACTTTTTTTTCCCTATTATACACACATTTGATGATAGAAAAATATTTAATTGAAAAATTACATAATGCATTCTGAAAACAAGCAACCATAGAAATTCATATTCTTGAAAAAAGAAAGAAAAAAAAAGTTTTTCTCATTGGATTTATTAATTCATGTCAAATACTTACTATTGGATTTCTGTGTACAACAACCAATTCAATCTTGAATATTTATTTGTTTAGTGATATGGTGGGGTTCGTAGAAAACGTTGAAAATAAAAATTTTGCAAAAGAAAAATATTGAAAAGTAAAACTGCCGAAAGGGAAAAATTATATTTCTACTGTGTTATTGGCATCGTTCCAATCTATCAGCATGCTCATCCTTACTCATATCCTAACCAATGCGTTTATTTTTGGCTGTCGACATTTTCCGTCAATCCTAATATAAATGATATGGTGTGCTACCATTGTATTCATACGTTCCTCATTGTCATCTTCTTATTATTACGGTTAATTTATCGGCATCGGAATTCTGTACTTTGTGATGTGATAATCGAGAGATTGGAGTAGTTGAACATCGGTCCGAATCTTGTCAAAAACCTACTCACAAAAAGGCGAAATTGACTTTCGAACTTTGTTTATTTTCTGAGATAATTAAAAGTAGGTATAGAGACTAGTCACATGGCAGCATCGAATGCGACCAAGCGCGAGAGTATTTGGAATCTACCCGATCTAAATACTATCTTTCATAGTGTGTAAGATATTAGAACATTTAACATAATAAATAGAAGCTATAAACCGCGTACTGTATTTCGCATCACAGGCGAACTCTATGTGCCATCTAGTATAATATTAAATTATTCATGCACAAAAGAAATACAATCTATCTAAGAATTATTTCTTACACTAATTTTCTTGTTTTTTCCTTTCATTGAAATTGAAGTACTACACGATAACCATCTGTAGCCGACAAAGGAATAACAATTGTTTTTTTTCTAACGTTCAGTAAACGCGAATGAAATATTTTATGATTCTAATCGGTCAACTTTTTTTTTTCGTTCTATGCGTTCATGCTATATAATGAATAACAAATAAAAAATCAGCTCATTCGCATTGATCATAATATTTGTTAAATAAAAACATTCATAGTTTCATATTTAAAAGATATTTTTTAAAGTCGTTATCTTCTGAAAAATCTTTTAAAAATTTTTTCTACTTCGTAAGTATGAATATATTTATTAATATTCTTTCAAAAAGCAAACTAATTTGTTTTAATATTGATTTGGTTGTTGTTAAATTATTTTGATTTTTATCTGTATAAAACAAATCAAAACTATTCTAACGAATAGTTAGAAAATATTTATGCCATAAACGTAGTCAATGATAATATAAGTCTGTCCCCAACCACAATTATCTATAATAGGGAAGTCAGAAAACTGACTTGAAATGTACACTATATTTTCCTTGACTATAAAACATGTTACTAGTGCAAAATTTATCGAATTGGTTCGAATATTAATATATGCTATTAGATCATACACCTCAATTTTCTTGTCTATATTAAGAATATGTCTTGTAATCCGGAAGAAAAAAATCAGAAAGACAAAAAATTCGGAAACCAAAAATTCGGAAAATCAAAAATCCGGAAAACCAAAAATCCAGAAAAGAAAAAATCCGGAAAAATCCCCCACGTCTTTATCACGAACAAGAAAGGATAGTAGTCTTTCATAACTCTTTCCTATTCTCTTCGCCAATCATGATCATCGTCTGTCGGGTACCATCCTCTCTGAATTCGATTAGGAGGGAATAATCGTTTCAACAAACGAATGAACAGCTGTCACCCGAACATGGGGACCTTCGTCACTTGCCTGCAAAACGAAGAAGTGCATTTTCGGCAACAATTGCTTAAAGTGTCAACGGGTGCGCAAAAAACGAAGACGAAGAAGACTTTGGCTTTACAAGCTAAAATTAACACTCTTGCCAAACGTTTTGAGGACGATGCGATCGACCGCGCCGAACATCTCGAGGAGCTCTCTTTATTGGTGGATAGTAAAAAGTGAACTACATCACTTCTCTTCATATCAAATGATTTCTCTTCTTTATTGAACATGCTTCTTTGTTAAATAAACTGTTGAATCTTTTCACAGAATTTTTCCGAATTTTTTTCCTCCGGATTTATATTTTCCAGATCATTTTTTCCTCCGGATTTTTTCTTCCGGATTTTTTCTTCCGGATTTTTTTTTCCGAATTTCGGGACAATACCTATATTAAGATAGGACGCTTATTATTATTATGTAAATATACAGAGATTGTACATCGAATTTCTAAAAAGACAATTTTTCGCAGACTTACATTCGTTCATGACCAAATATATTGATTAATTTTTTTATTGTTAAGATAAAATGATATCAACATTTGAAAGCTTACCAAATGAAATTCTTTTTATTATATTTTGTAATATGTCATGGTCAGATTTATTAAGATGTTTTTGGTCCTTAAATAAACGATTGGATATATTAATATGTTCAGTTTTTTCAAGAATTAACAATAAACAAAACAGTGGTCTTGTTTTTATTGAACCAGGTTTATCTTTTAAAAAATGTCATTCAACATTATTACCATTAATTTGCCAATCATCACTTTCTTCTTCTATCCGTCGAATTCATTTTGATGGAACAAATTCGAGTTCCTGTGATTTGATATATGAATGGCTGTTTGATAATAAGAAAAAAAACTCCTCGTTTTTCAAATGTCAAATCGCTTATTCTTACTCGATGTTTATTAGTTAAACCTTTAATTCATATTTTACCTTTTCTTATTAAACATCAACTTGATGAACTTACACTAATCTTTGATAAACATATGATTAAATACCTTCGATACTCAAATGAATTATCAAGAATGGAATTTGAGGCAGGTAATTAAATATTTAAAAACAAACTTGAATAAATGATATGATAATTGATTTTGTGTTTATATTAGGAAAATCAGTGATAATATTTAAAGAATTAATAGAACAACTTTTCTCAGATGAATGCCGATTAACTTCACTTGAACTTGATATTGTTTGTAATGATTATTCTCTTGATCTTCATAAATGTTTAACATCACGTAATGATATTTGTTCAGATTTTATTTTGGATAGAAATCAAATATCTTCTGTGAATCTTCGTCATTTACGTATTTATATTGAATATACATTTTTTTTTTGAAAATCTTATTCAATACGTTCCTCTTCTCGAACAATTATCCGTTGTTTTTAATCAATCATTAATAATTTGGCTACGATCAACATCAGATATTAAGACTTTAATAAGAAGAAATGGAAATTTGTTTAATAAGGTATGATAAAAACATATTTTTATTAGTCGAACTATTTTTGTGTAACAAATGTCTACTTTCTAACTAGAAAAAGCCAGCATGTTGGATGATGAGATATTATTTACAGAATTTTATTCGATTTAATTACATTGAAACTTGTATATGAAGAATTGAGTTTTACATTTTTGAAATGCATCATGATAAATGTTAGATGCACTCGGTGACAGCATTTCCAACTCAATTGAAATATATAATTTTGTTTTGTGAAACATGTTTTAAAAGTAGTGTCGAAGTAGAAGGGTAGAAATTTGAACCCTCTCTAACGCAGACCATGACAGACGTCGCTAACGGATATCTATAAAACTAATGTTCAGTGTGTGTCTGTCTGACTATGCCGGGTCAAAGGTCAACGGAGGTGGATGGTGGGTTGACTTTTGACTTTGGAACAGACTGATACACACCAGAGCCCGAATCGAACCGACTTATGGTGGTACGAGTTCGGTTCGGTTCGTCTTCATTTTCTAGAACTTGGTTCGGGTTCGGTTCGGTTCGTCTTCATTTTCTAAAACTTGGTTCGGGTTCGGTTCGGTTCGTCTTCATTTTCTAGAACTTGGCTCGGGTTCGGTTCGGTTCGGCTTTACTTTATAAAAGCTGGTTCGAGTTCGGTTCGGTTCGGCTTTATTTTATAAAAGATGGTTCGAGTTCGGTTCGATCTAACTAAGCTTTTCATTTACTGTCTATACGAAAAGCTTCTAAACCCCATTGCATTCAGAGGTGTGTCGTACAATAACGCGTCTAATGTGTAAATAGTAGTTACCTCTAAGCTGTAAGAAGCATTTTAGCATTTATTCAGTTTTTCCTAAATTAATTGTTTTATTTTTAATGCACATAAGAATGATATGAATAAGTTGAATCGTCAAAACCAAAAAAAATGGCAAAAGAGCATAGAAAATAAATACTTATACGAAATACAATTATAAATGTCTTTTATTATTTTCCACTGAGCGTAGAAAAAGTATATCATTAATTGTAGTAGGTTCGAGACTAGATCGACGCTGTGTGACTACCTGTCCAGCTGCGCTAAATGCACGTTCCACAGCGGCAGAACTGCAAGGAATTGCAAATATTTTCCTTGCAAGTTTACTTAAATAAGGGAACATTGATTGATGTTGTTGCCAAAATATAAGTGGATTTGTATAAATCTCATTATCCTTAAGTTGTAAATCAATATATAAATCGACTTCATCTTTTGTTTGTGTCACTACAACTGGAGTTACATCATCCATTAATGATTCTAAGAAAAGTTTCGGTTTCTTTGCTAAAGGTTCATTAATATCATTACAATCATTAGATGATATAGTTGTCGAAGTTGATGATGCTGGAATTGCCATTCGACATGAACGGTGACATTCAATTATTTGCATTTGTGTAGCATTTCTTAATTGTTTATAGTTTGGATGTAAAAATGTTCCCATAGCGTGCAAATTTTCAATTTTGAACATAGATTCTAATAATTGTGATGCTCGTTTAGCAAATAATTTCATACCTAAATAAAAAATAGGAAAAATGTCGTAAGAATATTCTTCCTAATTAATGAAAAAAACTCACCACCTCTCATTGTTCGTTCCATTTTTGTAATTTGTTGCTTTAGATAACCGATACAAGGTAATACCATATATAATGATGGTGAATTACCAAGTTGGATTTCATTTATTACATATCTCCATGGCTCCAAAAATTGTATTAATTGGCTAACAATATTCATATTGATCTTCTCGAGTCTTGATGACTCTTGTTTTTCGTGTAAAATATGTTTCAGAGGATGATAAGCTTTTTCAATACTTGATAATAATTCATGTAAAGAGAGCCATCGAACGATCGAAGATTGATGAAGAGTGGTGAATTTTGAGAATTGTTTTTTATGACTATCATCATCAGCTGTTGAACTATATTCATCTTCTTGTTCAACTTGAATATGACGATCAAGGTTGACCTAAATAACAACGATAACATATTTAAAAATAGTCTTATATTATTAGAATAGTGTTTTATTTGTTACCTTTTTGGTATATTTTACTAAAGCTTTACAATAATGAATAGTATCTAAAATTTCTCTTGCAGACGTTGGTAGGTCATTAATTGTAGTAGATGAATAGTCAACAATACTATCATCATCACTGACTTCGGAATCATCCGTTTCACAATCATCTTCACCATCGAATAATTTTGTCTGAGAATCGGTTTCTGGTGATGCTTGAATTGTGGTTCTGTATTTAGTTGTTTTATTAGGTGTTTTTTCTATCCGTTCAATAACTGTTGTTGTTGTTTTATTTTTGTCATTCTTTTTTTCCTTTGGCAAATTTTGATAAAAAGTGTGCTTCAGAATATTATTAAGACGATGAGCCGTACAAAAAAGCACCGTAAAGCCATCTAAACCTTTAACGAAATTACTACCACGATCAGTAACAAATACTATATCAGACAGATAGTCTTCTAATCCAAAAGACAATAATTCCTTGCGTAACAGCTACAATAATAAAGAAAATGATTTAACGCAAAAAAATATAGTTTGATTCACATACTTTCATTATATTTTCACCGCTTTTCTTTTTTGCTTTAAATTCAGTGCAAAATAAATCAACTGAGTAATATTTGTTATCTTTTTCGACAAAATGAACTGTTGCACCTAAGTAACAAATTTTACGATACTTGTCGCTCCATATATCTGGACTGATACACACACCGCCATATTTCACAGCTTCCACCAAACGATCCTTGAGTAATAATCTTTCATGGGCAGCTAACCTTTTAATTTCATTTTTAATTGTTCGATCACAACTAATAATATCATTAGAAGATATCACTGTATCAGAACCGAATTCTCGACCTAAAATAAGAAAGCTTTGTATCGCAATTTCTTTAAAGTAAGCAAGTGTCTCTTACCAATTGTTAGACATACGTCGATTACATCTTTAAAACCGGAATCTTGAACAATTTGAAAAGATCGCATTGAATGGGCGATCCATCGAGCACAGACTTTCTTCATTTCTTCTTTTCTTTTAACAATAGCCTTTGAAACAGGAACTGTGTGTTGATCAGTTTGACGAGGACTTGATGTTAATAAAAAATGTTGATGAAGAGATGTTTGATTTGATGATAATAATTTAGGACATTTATGAGAATTGATGTGAGTAGTGCTTGAATTTACATAACGATAAGTTTCCCAACATTTAAAGCAAGATGCAAAACTAGGAATCGCTATAAATTCGTCTTTATCATGTAACTTTTTAGCTGGAAAGCCCATTTCCATTCTCTTCCAACACCCAGCTGAGACACGTTTACTTTGATTTGGTATAACTTTATAATTTGCACTATCATTCATCAATAATAATTTAATGGATTCCGAAGTGTAATTTGAAGTCGAGTTGATGGCAGGTTCTGAAGATGAAATTTGGATTGATGAATGAGAAATAGAAGAGTTAGATGATGTCATTATAACAGCAAGTTAAAGTGAGTAGTTTATGAGAAGAGAAATTTCAATCACCTCAATATATACATATGAAGAAAAGATAATGATATGTCAATCATTTTAGAAAAATTCATTGTTGTCAATTGGACGAGCAGCCGTCCGTATTTGTAGCATGAAACAATCGAACAGATAGAAGAAATAAATTAAAATTTCCACTGTGTATAAGTGACCAACCGTTATGAGTACATTGTCTGCAATTGTCACGAAAAAAGAACAAAAGAATGTAGAATAATCAGTCAAAGGTCGGTCACTTATTGTTAATAACAGATCTTTTAAGAAATATATGATAATTCAATTGATATTAGTTCGGTTCGGTTCGGTTTGACATCATTTTTCAAGAAACAGTTCGAGTTCGGTTCGGTTCGACATCATTTTTCAAGAAACGGTTCGAGTTCGGTTCGGTTCGACTGTATTTTGAAAACAGTGGTTCGAGTTCGGTTCGAATCGACTCGAACCGAACCGAATCGAACCGTCTTAGTTCGGTTCGAGTTCGGTTCGTTTTCGGGCTCTGATACACACCGTGCAATATCCATTTGCGTGGGCTCTCACTGATTTAAATATAATTAAGTAGTAGGATATATTTTGTTTCTCCAGTAAACACAATATTCATTGATATTGATTTGTCATATGTTATTTAAAACTATTAAATTAGACACATTCATAGTTCATGATTGGTGCGAATATTTTAGACTAGCGAGAATCCGTGCATACTGCACGAATGTTTCCTCCTTTAACGTATGACCTCAGATGTCGAACTTTTCATCGGGTAACCGACATACAAACACCGAATATTATGTATATAGATGACCTTACGGCTTTATACACTTATCTCGCACATATTTTTATAGTCCAGGTAGCCTTTGGCCTTATAGTCTTATATTCCTTGTAGCTCTTGTAGTAGCTTTATCTCCTTATTGCCTTACCCCTTATTACTTATCTCGTTACTACCTTACTCCCTTGAGGCCAATGGGTACTCTCACATAATAGCCCTTGAGGAGCTATGGGTACTCGCATATAATAGCCCTTGAGAGTCCATGGATACCCCATATGATGGCCCTTGAGGACCTGTGGTTACCCCATGTAACAGTCCTTAAGGACCTATTGGTATCCTCATATAATAGCACTTAAGGATCTATGGGTACACCGTATAATAGCCATGGAAGACTTATGGGTATCTCCATAGGATAGATCTTGAGGACCTATGAGTACCCCAATATAGCAGGCTTTGGTGCCTTCCTCTTATAGCCTTATTTGACCTTTGACCCGGCACAGACAGGTAGACACACACTGAACAATATATATAGATATGTATAGAGAGAGAGAGATGATGTAGAATTGCTTTCGTTATCATTAAAAGCATTATTTTTTTTTAATGTTTTTTCCGATCACTAGCAATCACAACTATATCGTGTTTCTCATTGTAAACACAGAGAGACTGTGCGAACAGCTTTTAAAAAAAGTTATCTCAGTACAATTGTATATCTCATCGGCGAAATCGAGATCTCATTATTATTTCTTATAAATGAAATTGTCAGTAATTTTTGATTCAATGATCAGACTTCCAAATGATGTGCATGTTAACCATTGTTCTATTGTAATTTTTTTTTTTTTATAGGTATCAAGATTAAAATATTTTGCTCTAAAAACTTTTGTGTTGGATAATTTGGAATTTGCTTATTTGAAATGGATTCTTAATAATCTTAATCATATCAAAAAACTTAATATTCATCTTCGAAATGATGAATTTTCTAATACAGATGAAATCATTTGGAATTCTACAATTGATGCAAATTTTATTTATCAATATTGTTTACCTGATAGAAAAATTAATTTAGCACGGTTTGATTTTTATATTTCTTCGAAATGTGAATCATTAAGGAAAAATATTGATGAAATAATTCATTCATTTAAAATTCATCCTTTTTTCTTGATCATCAATGGACAAATGTAAAATGTTTTTTTGATCCAATTATGTATTATCAACATCTTTCTTCTTCTTTAATCCATCAGCCCAAATTTTTCCACGGCTTCACGTAAGGACATATGTAACGGGTAAAAAGCCTTTCTGCCAATTCCAAAAATTGTCAGCGTGTCACACACATCTCTGCCAATTGGGAAAAAATTTTTATAACTGACAGAGCGTCACATAATTTCTTTTCCAATTGGCAGAAGTCCCTGTGACACTCTACCAATTGGACTTCCTAACATAACTTAGGAAAATATTTTATAAACTAGACTTAGAGATAACTTTTTTATTCTCTTTTAGTTTATAGTTTATTACTTCTTCTGAATCCAGAATTCATTCAAATTAGACATAAAAAATACTTGTCTACTGTAAAAAAATATAGATTATTTTAGTACTTTTTCTTATCTTCATTGCTCCATCAACCAGCCGACTTTACAATTTGATTTATTATCGTAGTATATTAATAAATCTCCTTTATAAATAGTTCTTGCCAATTGGCAGAATTTTACGTGATTTTCCGCCAATTGGCAAAAAATTATTATAATTGGCAGTGTCAGAGGCGAATCTGTCAATTGGCAAAACGCCATTGGCAGAAAAGGGAATTGGCAGAGTGACAGATTCTACGTAATGTTTCTAATATAATGATGATTATCTTCTAGTCATGTTCCAGAATTGTTTTATCGGTCAAATATTCGTTATGTATGGATCGAGTTACATCCATCTCTTTATTTATTTCTTAAACAATTTAATGAATTATTTCCTAATGTTTTTTGCATCAAGGGTGTGGGTGTGGATGTGGGTGTGGTTGAAGGGAAGATGAATACCCACACCCCACTTCCACCCATATACCCACACCCATATCCACACCCACACCCGACAGCCACACCCACCCACACCCACATCCACACCCGACAGCCACACCCACCCACACCCACATCCACACCCACACCCGACAGCCCAAGGGGGAAACAGCTGACTCCAGTCCCTTGGAGTCAAGTGGAGTCAGGTGGAGTCAAGTGGAGTCAGGTGGAGTCAGGTGGAGTCAGGTGGAGTCAGGTGGAGTCAGGTGGAGTCAGGTGGAGTCAGGTGGAGTTAGGTGGAGTGAAGTGGAGTAAGGTGGAGTCAGGTGGAGTCAGGTAGAGTCAAGTGGAGTCAGGTGGAGTCAGGTGGAGTCAAGTNAAAGAGATTTTTACAACATAAGTGCAATTTGATGAGCTCTTTATAATGAAGCTATTTTCAGCATGATATTCACGGTCTAAATAATCACTCGATAAAGACCCTCTTTTGTCCAGAGCGATCTAATAATGGCTATGCAATCGATTGCGCATTATTGAAAATAGTTTCATTATAAAGAGCTCATCAAATTGCACTTATCTTGTAAAAATCTCTTTGATTCATTCATGTAAACTATATTTTCGTAGGAGTCAAAAAAACACTGTTTATAACTAGGACCCAATCGGGGTGGTATTCGATGATTATCGATAGAAAAAATTTGTAATCTCCAAAAGTGTTATATACAGTTTAATAGAGAAAAAAATTCTGCATCGAATGAGCCTATTTTCAATGAACTATAAACGTTCGATGTTTGTTTTTGAAATCAAAACCTGATTTTTAGTCTTTCTGAAAATGCTCTCGATCTCTCTTATTATCCGGCTGATTTTGAAAACAAATGTGATATTCGTGATCAGCATGTTTTGCTCTATCATTCTATAAAGACAATGGATGGAAGGAAGACAAAATATTTTTGTCAATACCTGAGGAAGATCCATGAGAGAAAAAGCGAGACTTCATCTACTTCAAAAGAAATTTGAAGCACAACTGAAGTACAGTGAAGTAAGGTGACGTTAGGGTGTTCACTTACTGTTACGTCACCAAGTAACTGTAGACAACTATAACTAAGGAGCGCGAGATGAGGAATCCGATTCTATAAGCCGTTTCGCAAAATTTTGAGTTTTGTTTATTCCGTCAGGGAAGACTTATTTTGAGAAAATAACGATTTTTCATAATGTTTGAGGAAAGGTTTTCGGGGTCGAGGAATCCGAATTTCTAACTCATAATTCGAGATTTTTTATTTTTTCTTCAATGAGCCAAGGTGAGAAATCCGAATGTATAATCAGTTTTTCGAAATTCTCAAGTTTGATTTTGTCTGACCATGAAGTTTGTTTTCGCTCAAATTTCTACTCTAGTGGTATTTTTTAGAGTTTTAGAACCAGTTAAAAATCATCCTTTGCCTCTTTCTGCTATGGAGAAAATTACAAGATACGATGAAATGTAGAAGGACACTTTTCACATGAAATATTTTAACCAATATTAAGACAAATTGAGCCGTATTAGATATCATTTGACTCGTTTCATTTTGGAAACGTCCGCTACCTCTACTACGAACAAGTATTGAAGATTAAAAGTAGTCTTACTGTATACAATTCCAAAGAGCTGCTGCTGGTTTTTTTTTATAGAGTAACTTTCGCAACGGTACATATCTGCTGCAGTAGCCTATATCTCGCTGAATATGCAGTAAAGTGTTGGAAAACCTGTGTTGTGTAACACAGGCATAGAGTAGATTATAATCTACTATCAAGAAGTTGTTTTCTTCTACCTTCGAGTTTTCATGCTAATTGTACCAAAAAGTTGCAATTCACTCATATACAGTCAAACATGTACAAAACTGAAACAGTTCGCGTTAAAAAACCACGGCTCTCCTTTAATTCGCATTTGACCTAAAGAGGATCAGTTAAGTAATAGGATTCGAGTTCAATCGAGCTTAGTAATGAATTGAGAAGATTTACTTCCTACGAACAAAAAATTCTGTTAAGAGTCCGACTGAAAACTAATTGAATACTCATAAATTGACAATGAAAATATTTTTTCCAACAGAAAGAGTCGGCTAAATGTATTTGACATTGTTATTACACAATACGAGCTGATAAAAATATTGGCTATGTATTGACCAGTAACTATTTAACACGGAGGACGTTCAAATTGTCAGATAATTATACAAAATCGTGCTTTTTAAGTGAAATTGAAATAAATTGTTAAATCTTCATATAGATTATAAACTAATCTTTCCTAAAAAAATACCTTTTTCTCGAGAATGGAACTCGTCAAACCAGTTCTTAAATAAATCTACGAATGAGCGACAATTATATATATTTTTCTCTATTTTACACGAACATAATGCCAAATTACTATAGCTTTCACAGTCTCAAAAACTGCTCATATGCATAACTGCGTGCTTGTGATTTAACGAAAAAAAAGTATAAATTGTAAGTTGGAGATCGACTAAATCGTAACGAGTATCAATAGAACTTGATCAAGCTCGAACTTTTTTCGCGTTCAAGTTATGTAGCAATCTGCACCAAAGCCCGAATCGAACCGACTTATGTTGATTCGAGTTCGGTTCGGTTCGTCTTCATTTTCTAGAACTTGGTACGGGTTCGGTTCGGTTCGATCTAACCAAGCTTTCATCTACTGTCTATAAGAAAAGCTTCTAAACCCCATTGCATTCACAGCTGTGTCGTAAAATACCATGCCTAATGTATAAATAGTAATTCTCCCGAAACTACAAGAAGTATTTTAGCATTTATTCAGTTTTTCCTAAATTAATTCTTTTATTTTTGATACACATAAGAATAACATGGATAAGTTGAATAGTCAAAAATAAAAAAATACGATAAAAGAGTAGAGAAAAATAAATAGCTATACGAAATACATTTATAAATGTCTTTTATTATTTTCTACTGAGCGTAGAAAAAGTATATCATTAATTGTAGTAGGTTCGAGGCTAGATCGACGCTGTGTGACTACCTGACCAGCTGCGCTAAATGCACGTTCCACAGCGGCAGAACTGCACAAAATAGCAAATATTTTTCTTGCAAGTTTACTTAAATAAGAGAACTCTGATTGATGTTGCTGCCAAAATATAAGTGGATTTGTATAAATCTCATTATCCTTAAGTTGTAAATCAATATATAAATCGACTTCATCTCTTGTTTGTGTCACTACAACTGGAGTTACATCATCCATTAATGATTCTAAGAAAAGTTTCCGTTTCTTTGTTAAAGGTTCATTAATATCACTACAATCATTAGATGATACAGTTGCCGAAGTTGATGATGGTGGAATTGCCATTCGACATGAACGATGACATTCAATTATTTGCATTTGTGTAGCATTTCTTAATTGTTTATAATTTGGATGTAAAAATGTTCCCACAACGTGCAAATTTTTAATTTTAAACATAGATTCTAATAATTGTGATGCTCGTTTAGCAAATAATTTCATACCTAAATAAAAAATAGGAGAAAGATTGTAAGAATATTCTTCATAATTAATGGAAAAAAACTCACCACCTCTCATTGTTCGTTCCTTTTTTGTAATTTGTTGTTTTAGGTAACCGATACAACGAAATGTCATAAATAATGATGGTGAATTACCAAGTTGAATTTCATTCATTACATATTTCCATGGCTCCAAAAATTTCATTAATTGACTAACAATATTCACATTGATCTTCTCAAGTCTTGATGATTCTTGTTTTTCATGTAAAATATGTTTCAGAGGATGATAATCTTTTTCAGTACTTGATAATAATTCATGTAAAGAGAGCCATCGAACGATCGAAGATTGATGAAGAGAGGTAAATTTTAAGAATTGTTTTTTATTACTATCATCATCAGTTGTTGAACCATATTCATCTTCTTGTTCAACTTGAATATGACGATCAAGGTTTGCCTAAATAACAACGATAAGGTATTTAAAAGTCGTCTTATGTTATTAGAATAGTGTTTTGTTTGTTACCTTTTTGGTATATTTTACTAAAGCTTTACAATAATGAATAGTATCTAAAATTTCTCTTGCAGATGTTGGTAGGTCATTAATTGTAGTAGATGAATAATCAATAATACTATCATCATCATCATCATCATCACTAATTTCGGAATCCTCTGTTTCATAATCATCTTCACCATCGAATAATTCTATCTGAGAATCGATTTCTGGTGATGCTTGAATTGTGGTTCTGTATTTAGTTGTTTTATTAGGTGTTTTTTTCTATTCGTTCAATAACTGTTGTTGTTATTTTATTTTTATCATTCTTTTTTTCCTTTGACAAATTTTGATAAAAATTGTGCTTCAGAATATTGCTACGACGATGAGCCGTACAAAAAAGCACCGTAAAACCATCTAAACCTTTAACGAAATTACTACCACGATCAGTAACAAATACAATATCAGACAGATAGTTTTCTAATCCAAAAGATAATAATTCCTTGCGTAACAGCTACAATAACAAAGAAAATGATTTAACGCAAAAAAAATATAGTTTGTTTCACATACTTTCATTATATTTTCATCACTTTTCTTCTTTGCTTTAAATTCAGTGCAAAATAAATCAATCGAGTAATATTTACTATCTTTTTCGACAAAATGAGCTGTTGGACCTAAGTAACAAACTTTGCGATACTCATCGCTCCATATATCTCGATTGATACACACACCACCATGTTTCACAGCTTCCACCAAACGATTTTTGAGTAATAATCTTTCATGAGCAGCTAACCTTTTAATTTCATTTTTAATTGTTCGATCACAGCTAATAATATCATTAGAAGATATCACTGTATCAGGGCCAAATTCTCGACCTGAAATAAGAAAACCTTGTGTCGCAATTTCTTTAAAGTAAGCAAGTGTCTCTTACCAATTTTTAGACATTCGTCGATCAGAGCTTTAAAACCGGGATCTTGAACAATTTGAAAAGATCACATTGAATTGGCGATCCACCAAGCACAGACTTTCTTCATTTCTTCTTGTCTTTTAGCAATAGCTTTTGTAACAGGAACTGTGCGTTGATCAGTTTGATGAGGAATTGATTTTGATAAAAAATGCTGATCAAGATATGTTTGATTTGATGATAATAATTTAGGACATTTATGAGAATTTATGTGAGTAGTGCTTGAATTTACATAACGATAAGTTTCCCAACATTTAAAGCAAGATACAAAACCAGGAATCACTATAAATTCGTCTTTATCATGTAACTTTTTAGCCGGAAAGCCCATTTCCATTCTCTTCCAACACACCGCTGAGACACGCTTACTTTGATTTGGTATAACTTTATAATTTGCACTATCATTCATCAATAATAATTTAATGGATTCCGAAGTGTAATTTGAAGTCGAGTTGATCGCAAGTTCTGAAGATGAAATTTGGATTGACGAATGAGAAATAGAAGAGTTAGATGATGCCATTATGACAATAAGTTAAAGTGAGTAGTTTATGAGAAGAGAAATTCCAATCACCCCACTATATACATATGAAGAAAGGATGATGATATATCAATCATTTTACACAAATACATTGTTGTCAATTAGGCGAGCAGCCATCCGTATTTGCAGCATGAAACAATTGAACATACAGAAGAAATAAATTAAAATTTCCTCTGTGTATATGTGACCAATCGTCATGAGTACATTGTCTGTAATTGTTATGAAGAGAGAACAAAATAATGTAGAATAATCGGTCAAAGGTCGGTCATTCATTGTTAACAGCAGATTTTTTAAGAAATAGATGATAGTTCAATTACTACTAGTTTGGTTCGATTCGGTTCGACATTATTTTTCAAGAAACGGTTCGAGTTCGGTTCGGATCGACTCGAACCGAGCCGAACCGTCTTAGTTCGGTTCGTTTTTGGGCTCTGATCTGCACCGATTACCTGTATTAATATCTCTCGTCAGGATAGATAGTGATATAAAATTGCTTCACATGAATAATAAAGCTTAGCACAGTATTATTTCCAGAGAGGGTGTGGGTTAGGATCCTATAAGAACCACTTTTTTCCTTATTTTTCCGTCCCGTTTCCCGCAGGAATCTGGAACGAGAAATCCAGTGGAGGTTCAGGAACGACATTAAAAGCATCCATTCTCGAAAATCCGCTTGTCCTATTTCAATATGTACTAAAGTGTGTTCGTGTAGCAAACTTTTATTTTCAATAACTATTTTCGTATATAAAGTCGTTTCAATGTGTCAAGAAAAATTATTTTGAGATTCAGAGAGAGATGAAGACGCAGTCGTAATACTTTGTGCTTAAGAATGTAGTTGCCGAGATTGCTTATTTCGTATCGCTCAGTAATTAGTACTGTAAATCATTGTTATTAGCAGCTGCATTTGGCACGGTGTTGATGGCAGGTTTTTGCTCTTCAGCGAGTTTTGTGAGAAACTTTAATGTGAATTATTTCTTTTCTCATCTTTGTCAGACATTTTTATCTGATATGCGGTTTGTTTTTCACGGAACTGTTTCACTACTTTTTGAGTTGCCAATCCAAAAAAGATAAAAGCGAGAGATAAGTGCGTGCATCTCATTTTGAAAATTGATCAAAGACTCTTGTCATTCATTGGTTTATTTGAATGGATTTCAATTTACAATCAATGTAAAGGTATCATCAAAGAACGTATGCTTGTCGACCTGCTTTTTTTCTTTTCTTTGATTATTAGAATATAAAACCAAGAGATACTATTGTCTATTTCGGAATTACACCTTATCCCCACTGCCGTGGTCGTTGCATATATATAATTCGGAAATTCTAATAAATATTTTAGCTTTCTATCAATGTTTCTGACTTTCTTCTTTCGTATTATTTACCAAACAGCGCCTGTTTCTCATCAGTCAATATTTACTTGATAAAAACTATATAATTTGTATTTATAAAATCATTTATTTATGTAGATCAATCAATAATTCTTGAATATTTATATCACCAAATATGGCTTTCTTTTCATAGGGAGCTATATATATATATATTAATATTGGAAAAAACACAGAAAAGATAAACAAAACCACTGTTGAAACGATTTTATTATATCACTCTCCCCATAATATTGCTCGTCTTTGTTTTTCGCATGAAGCAATAAATCGTCCTTCGGGATGCCAAGCGACAGCATTAACAATTGATCTTGAATAAAAAAAAAAAATTTTTAAGAAAATTCAACGAATTAGCGCACACAAATAGCAATAGGAATAGATAAACAGAAAAATAATTAATCAATTTTAACAGATTGTTTTATATTTACTTTCTCTTCTGTTAATGAACGAAATAAATTTGACAGAGAGCAAAATAAAAACAAAATAGTACCTTATTTGAAACATCTGAATTATTTTAAGACTACTATAAATTCGAGGAGGATGAGATAATTTGGTCGTTTCTATTTACTCTTGAGTGATGTTTCACATAAGCTACTTACGAATGTTCTTTATTGAGAACTCTTTCAATTTTGCCTGTTGTTGTATTCCAAACAAATACTGATCCATCATTGCTACCAGCACATGCATAAGTGCAATCAGGTGAAAGAACTGCTTTTATTGTGTCCGATGCCACTTTAAAATCATCATGACTAAAATATACATCTATTTTAATTCATATTGTATTCAAAGAAAAAACAAATTGTGTTATAAAGTGAAAGAATTTTTTGATGCTTTGGAGGTACCCATGTACAAGCGAGTNGTATTTTAATTGTTTATAATTCGGATGTAAAAATGTACCCATAACATGAAGATCTTCAATTTGGAACATTGTTTCTAATAAATGCAACGATCGTTTGGCAAAGAAACGCATACCTAGACAAGAAATAAGATTTTGATTATTCAAAAGCATACATATAAGTGGTAAACGGCAAAACTCACCGCCTCTCATAGTACGTTCAAGTTTTACAACTTCTTGTTGCAAATAACCAATACACGGTAAAGTTAAAAAAAGTGATGGTGAATTACTAAGTTGAATTTCATTCATAATACGTTTCCACGGGTCAAGAAATTTGATTAATTGACCTACAATATTCATATTGATTCTCTCAAGCCTTGCTAACTCTTTTCTTTCAATTAAAACTTGTTTTAAAGGATGATAAGCTTTTTCGATGCTTGATAACAGATCGTATAAGGACAGCCATCTTACGACGGAGCTTTGATGTAGAGTTGTCATCTTTGAATAAGTTTTTTTATTTGTATTCTCATCAGCTGTTGGACTGAAATCTTGTTCCTGCTCCATCTGAACACTACGATCTAGATTGACCTAAATAATAATGTTAACATGTTGGAATCGAATTTCATGCAATCAGACTATATTTTCAGTTCCTACCTTTTTTGTATATTTTACCAAAGCTTTACAATGATTAATCGTATTTAAAACTTCTTTTGCACAAGAAGATAAATTGGATATCGTGATAGAAGAATAATCAGTATCATCATCTGTTTCTGATTCATCCGTATCAAAATCATTTTCATCATCGGTCATTTCGACCTCAGAATCGATCTCTGGTGACGCAACAGTTGTGGTTCTTGTTGTAGTAGTTTTGTTTGGTGTTTGCTCAATAGCTGTTGTTGTTGTTTCGTTTTGATCGTTCTTCTTTTTTTTCGAAACATTTTGATAAAATGTGTGCTTAAGAATGTTGTTAAAGCGATGAGCAGTACAAAATAACACTGTAAAACCGTTCAGTCCTTTGACAAAATTGCTGCCACGATCAGTAACAAATACTATATCAGACAGGTAATTTTCTAATCCAAAAGATATTAGTTCTTCCGTTAGTATCTAAAATTATTTTCAAAAAGTGATCATTTACTATCGTGATTCATGTACTTCATTTAGTATACCTTTATTATACTTTCACCATTTTTCTTCTTAGCGACAAATTCAATACAAAATAAATCAATGGAGTGATATTTGTAAGTTTTGTCGACGAAATGTGCAGTGGCACCCATATAAGAAATTTTGCGATATTTATCAGACCAAATATCAGGACTTATGCAAAGTCCACCATATTTTACTGCTTCTTTTAAACGATCCTTAAGTAGTAGTTTCTCACTAGCTGCTAATCTTCTTATTTCATTTTTGATTGTTCGATCACAACTTAAAATATCATTGGAAGATAAGTTCGTATCAGCAGGAAATTCTTGTCCTAAAATAAAAACAAGTTGTTTTTTTTAAAGTAAACATCGTAAAAACGTCAAAATCTCTTACCAATTTTCAGACATTCATCGATTACAGCTTTGAAACCTGGATCAGTAACAATCTGAAATGATCGCATTGAATGCGCAATCCATCTGGCACACACTTCACGTATTCTTTCTTTTCTTTTAGCAAGAGCTTTTGTTATTGGAATTGTACGTTCTACTGATCCAGAAATAGGTTGTTTAGATTGGAAATAATGATTAAGTGACGATTGATTTAAAGATAATGAAGTTCCACATTTATGGGACTTAATATGAGTAGTGCTTGAGTCAATATAACGATAAGTTTCAAAACATTTTGAGCATGATGCAAAGCCAGGAATTGCAATAAATTCATCTTTGTCATGTAACTTTTTTGCTGGAAAGCCCATACCCATCGTCTTCCAACATGCTGATGATGCGCGTTTGCTATCATTTAAAATAACTTTATAATTTTTATTATCAGTTTGTAATAGTAATTTAACGGAATCCGAATTATAATTTGATGGTGGATTCAAACTAGAGTTTGAAATTACAGTTTCAATTGACGAACTTGAAATTGAAGAACTATTTGAAGCCATTAAAATAGTGAATACAATTGGATAGCTTATAAACACATGAACATAGAATGATCAATAAAGAGAAGCAAATGAAAAATGACAATTTATTGTCTGCTTATAAGAATATATATTCTCGTCAGTAATGCTAGTTTATGTTTGACTATTGAACGATAAGAAATGTAAAAAAAGATAGAATGAATCAAACTGAGCGCAAGTGACTGATGCCCAATTACACAATTAATGTAATTGTTACATAATGAAACATAAATTTAAACGAAAATTAAAGTACATATATTAAATAAACGATCAAGCAGTGTTTGAGCCGGCTACTACTATCACAATTTGAAAAAGTTGACAGTAATTCAACCAATCATTTTTTCTTCTATTCTTCCATCATCACTAGTTTTTCGATAATCATAGATGAAAATGAACAAACTTCTTTGTTAATGCTTTGAAATATGTAGTGTAAAAGTACTGTGACACACTTTTATTTTATACAAATTAGAGATCAATAAATATATTAATTAACTTTTCAATTATTAAAAAAATGCATGATACACATGCATATGTATGCGTTGCAAAGAAAAGAACAATAGATAAAATTATTTTATATTGTTCTTTTAATGACAATCATATGATCAACAAAAATACAACAAGAGAATAGTTATTCTTTCTGTTTTTTTTCTTTCCTATCTATGTACATGCACACATATATCGAACATATGATTGCCACTGGAAGCACCATTTAAAACGAAACTTTCCATTTGTTTTGTTTTCTTGTCTACCAGTAGGAATTTATAATATGTATCCCGAATATTGTTTGATCACTCTAAAGATAGATATTATAGCTATTTGACATTCAAGTTGTTCCTCGTGCACTTCGTTCAAACACATTTTATGATTTATATTTCAAATAGTTTAAAAAAAAAACAGCTCAACTTCGATTGTCTTCACTATATGTTTTCAGAAAGCGGTTCGAGTTCAGTTCGGTTCGCCTAAATTTTTTTGGAAATAGCTCGGGTTCGGTTCGGTTCGACTGTTTTTTTTAAAACTCGGTTCGAGTTCGGTTCGGTTCGATTCGAACCGAACCGAACCGTTTTCGTTCGGCTCGGTTCGGTTCGTTTTCGGTCTCTGGTGTGTGCTCGAATTTTTGTCTTCCGTTAGCAATTCGAATGATCTTGGTTTGCTATTACACTCGCTTTTATTTACAGCAGCAACGTGTCAAAAAATCTCTCTCTCTGACTACAACTCTTTTTCGCTTATTCAAAAGTTGTTGTTTTCTTCGTTTCGTTCGTTCCCATTGGCGAACAGAAAAAAACCATATTCTCTCCTACCCTCACCTGCTCACTGTTGCTTCAACAATTCATATTTACTCTCTTACTTGCAAGTCAAGTGAGTACTATTTCACCTAAACAAAATTCAATTTATCGGATTTCGTTTTATGCAGCATGTCTGCTTCGTTCACAGACTTTACTGCAGTCAACAACAACACAAGTTCGCATGCTTTGTTTTTTCCAATTTCGACGAAAAATAGTTCTTCAATATTCATTGTAAAGTTTCGGTCTTCACAATGTCAAAGCTCTTTAGGTCCGTAATGGTTCTCTCATTTTCGAAATACCTTGATAATTAGCTGGCAATGTTATCGCACCATCTCTATCTAGTTACCAGCGACCTAAAAATGACAGCGACATCGAGCCTTCTGAGCTGGTCTTCATTAAACAATACCTCCTAGTGATAACTTGGTTTTCAACGAAGATAACAGCTGAGTTTTTTAACGAACTGTACTATTTTCCGCGTGGAACATTGATTGACAACTACCGTTTACATATGAAAACTATATAAATTCTTACTGGCTTTTTTTTCACTCTCGATACACGACATCAGACCAACAATACTACTGACGGTAATCTTCTCCAATTCATTTACATCCGCAAGGCAAGTAACAGAGAAATTCACCTGCACATCCGAATCACAAAAGCAAATCCACAGCCAAATACTCATTCAAAAATCCATCTACCAGCGTTCCTCACTGCATTGACACACACAGCTTCATACTATTCAATAGATCAAAGCTGCGTTCAACACACACACAGCCTCTGCCTTTTCAGTCCCATCCACGTGCTGGGCCACATTCCGCATACAAGCCAACTTCCATAGGAGTGTTCTTACATCTAGCAACAACTAGTAACCACCACCCACAAAATGTCCTTAGCGAGATATACACAAATATTAACAGCCCACATCACGATATCACTTCCACCCGACCCTCTGCACGAGAATAATGCAAACACTCATCTAACTTACATGACAGTCATAAAAGCTCGACTGTACAAAGGCCTATGCACAACAACAGTGACCTTGAGACTCGTCTCTAGCAATGATTTACACAGGCACTGATGTAGACACTAAGTTATAACAGACGTCAACGTACACCAGATATTATCTCACATATCCATACATTTCTACCACCCATACACACTATTAAAAAATCAGTCACATGCAACGTTTACGCCAATGCAATATTCACAATCAGAAACAACCAATTTCGTCGATGGTGTACGTCTGCCCACACACCACCGCATCAGACATATACGCCAAATGTGTACACACATCCCGAGTCACACTATCGCTATCGCACACATAAAACGAAAAAATGCACACAAAGTTCTATAGTCTAACCAGCATTAAAAGCTGGAACACACACCAGAGTTCATTGCACATTGATATCTGGAATCATAAGCATACGTCTACTCCCACAGCCATACTAACACCCTAAACAAACGCCTCATGCATCCCTGAGGGTGTGGGTGTGGACGGAGAGGTTACTGAAGAGAAGACTCACATCCATACAACCGCATCTCATAATAACTTCTAGATCCATTCTGAAATGCTCAGTTTTACTTCGCT